GGGAAGGAAACTGCCAACATTACCTGGTCTGGCCTACACGTGACTTCAGACCCACAGCAAAGTGGTTGACTCTGAAACACCCTCTGGGCAATAAATGCTGCCCAGCCAGCGATGTCCTCCTCCTGTTAATGAATAAAGAGGAAAAATAAAATTTATAATAAAAACAAGAAGTGCTGCAAAATGCAGCAGATCAGGCAGCATCAGTGGAAAGAGAAACTGAGTTAACTTATCGAGTTTTCAATTTGATTCTCCTTTGGAAGAAGAGTCATTTTGGACTTTGAAATGTTAATTTTGTTTTTCTCTCCATAGATGCTGCCAGACATGCAGAGTTTCTCTAGCACTTTGTTTTTATTTCATCTCTCCAGCACCCCTGCAGAATTTTGCTTTCATATGGGCTATTTTAACTTTGACAATAGTGGAAAATGGGCAGCATTGAATCAGATGTGCATTACATATGGTGCGAGCTGAAGATACACTGAGCATCCAACTCACTTTATTGCTCACTCAAAACTCATTTCCAACCTTATTCTGATCCCCATTTACAATGCACATCTGACAGGGTGTAAGTGGTTGAAAACTTACCTTTAAAGCTTTTGGTTTTCAATTAACTTAAAACATTTTAAAAGGTGAGCAACTTCCACTTCTCAAATGGACTGCAACAGCAAGACCATCTGAGGAAAAATTTCAGAATATTTGGGGATAATGTCAACTTTGTCTGGCAGCATAAAACAGGTGATTTATTGACCTTTCAACGTCCTCCGCATCTTTTCCTTAGGGAATCGACAATCCATATTACTTCTCCACTGATTTCCATTTGCACTTTATAAACACCTAAGTTATTGTTAAAATTACCTCACCCCCCACCCCCCCCCCCAAAGTCACGAGGAAGAGAGAGAAGGAGGGGACAAAAACAACTGATGGAGTGAGCACAGGAGTATCCTTCAACTTTACATAGAATGAACTACTTGTGTTTAATTTAGCAGTCTTCATAGACCATAAGATATAGGAGCAGAATTAGGGCATTTGGCCCATTGAGTCTGCTCCCCCATTCAATCATGGCTGATATGTTTCTCAACCCCAGCCCCTTTCTCCAGCCTTCTCCCCGTAACCTTTGATCCCCTCACGAATGAAGAATCTATCTCTGTCTTAAAGACACTCAATTACTTGACCTCCACAGCCTTCTGTGGCAATGAGTTCCACAGATTCATCTAAGTCATTTATATCTATATCACAAACAACAGTAAGTTTGCAGACGATACAAAGATTGGTGGAGTTGTGGATAGTGTAGAAGATTGTCAAAGAATACAGTGTGATATAATTGCAGATATGGATGGAGAAATGGCAGATGGAGGTTAACCTGGGCAAATGTGAGGTGCTGCACTTTGGGAGATCAAATGTTAAGGAAAAGTGTACAGTTAATGGCAGGACCCAGAAAAGCATTGATCTACAGAGGGATCATGGTTTCAAGTCCATAGCTCCCTGGAAGTGACCACGCAAGTCGATATGGTGGTAAAGAAGGGGTATGGCATCCTTGCCTTTATTGGTCTGGGAATTGAGTACAAGAGTCAGGATGTGATGTTGCAGCTTTATAAGACTTTGGTTAGGCCACACTTAGTGTATTGTGTTCAATTCTGGTTGCCACATTATAGGAAGGATGTGGAGGCTTTGGAGAGGGTGCAAAAGAGATTTACCAGGATGCTGGCTGGATTAGAGGGTATGAGCTATAAGGAGGGGCTAGAAAAACTTGGGTTGTTTTCTCTGGAGTGGTGCAGTCTGAGGGGAGACTTGATAGAAGTCTATAAAATTATGAGATGTATAGATAGGGTTGATAGTCAGCATCTTTTTCCCAGAGTTGAAATGTCTAAAACTAGAGGGGGGGGCATGCATTTAAGGTTAGAGGGGAAAGTTCAAAGGAGATGTGAGGGGCAAGTTTTATACACAGAGAGTGGTAGGAGTCTGGAACACATTGCAGGGGTGGTGGTGGAAACAGATACAGTAGGGGCATTTAAGGGACTTTTAGATAAGCACATGAATATGCAAGGATTGGAGGGATATGGATGAAGGGCAGGCAGAAAGAATTAGTTTAATTTTGCATCATGTTCAGCACAACATTGTGGGCCAAAGGGCCTGTTCCTGTGCTGTGCAGTTCTATGTTCTGTGTATTACATCTCCCACTTCTTTGCCTGCTCTCCTAGTCTGTCCAAGTCCTTGTGCATCCTCCCCGCTTCCTCAACACTATCTGTCCCTCCACCTGTGTTGTATCATCTACAAATGTAGCAACTTAGAAACTCAGTTTCTTCATCCAGATTATTAATGTACAATGTGAATAGCTGTAGTCCCAACACTGACCCCTGTGGAACACCACTAGTCACTGGGCGCCATCCTGAAAAAGACCCCTTTATCCTTACTGTCTGCCTTCTGCCAGTCAGCCAATTCTCTATCCATGCCAGTACCTTGCAGCTAACACTATGGGTTCTTACCTTATTTAGCAGCCTCCTGTGCAAGACCTTGTCAAAGGCTTTCTGGAAATCCAAATAAATCATATCCATTGGGTCTCTTTTGTCTAACTTGCTCATTACATCTTCAAAGAATTCTAATAGATTTGTCAGGCACAACATCCTCTGTGCTGACCCAGCCCTATTTTATCATGCATTTCCAAAAACTCTGTAATCTCATCCTTAGTAATGAACTCTAAAATCTTACCAATGACCAAGGTCAGGCTAACCCAGCCTATATTTCCTGTCTTCTGCCTCCCTCCTTTCCTAAAAAGGTATTGCATTTGCCATTTTCCAGTCCTCTGGGACTTTCTCTGACTCCAGTGATCCTGATCTCCACAATTTCATCAGCTACCTCCTTCAGATCCCTGAGATGTAGTCCATCTGGTAAAGGTGATCTATCCACCTTCAGACCTTTCAGCTTCCCCAGCACCTTCTCCTCAGTGATGGCTACTCCACTCACCACTGCTCCTGGCGCTCTTGAAGTTTTGGTATGTTGCTTATGTCTTCCACCATGAAGACTGATGTAAAGTACCTATTCAGTTCCTCTGCCATTTCTTTGTTCCTCATTACTACTTCTCCAGCCTCCTTTTCCAGTGGTCCAATGTCCACTCTTGCCTCCCTTGCCGTTTATATATCTAAAAACCTCTTGCAATTTTTTAAATATTACCAGCTAGTTTACTCTCAAATTTCATCTTCTCCTCCTTATTGCTTTTTCAGTTGTCCTCTACCAGTTTTTAAATGCTTCCCAATCCTCTGACTTCCCACTAATCTTCACCACATCGTACGCTTTTGCTATGGCTTTTATGCTGTCCCTGACTTCCCTTGTCAGCCATGGTTGCCTTGACCTTCCCTTCAAATCTTTTTTTACTTCCTTGGGATGAATTCAACCTTGGGATGAATTTGTGCTGTCCCTCCCAAATTGCCAGCAGAAACTCCTGCCATTGCTGGTCCACCGTCTTCCCTGCTAAGCTCCTCTTCCAATCAACTCTAGCTAGCTCCTCCCTCATGTCTTTGTAGAGGCCTTTACTCAATTGTGACATCTAATCAAGCTTCTCCCCCTCAAACTGCAGAATGAACTCTAAGATATTATGGTCACTGCCCCCTAGGGGTTCCTTCACCTGAAGCTCCCTAATCAAGTCGGCCTCATTACACATCACCGAATCCCGAATTGCCTGTTCCCTGGTGGGATCTACCACAAGCAGCTCGTAGACATTCCATGACTTCCTTTTCTTGGAATCTGCTACAAACCCAATTTTCCCAGTCCACCATGACTATTGTAATAGTGCCTTTCTTACATGCCTTTTCTATTTCCCGATTTATTTTGCTCCCCACGTCCTGACCACTGCTGGGGGCCTGTAAATAACTCCCATCAGAGTCTTTTTCCCTTTGCAGTTCCTCAACTCTACAAACACAGATTCCAAGCCTTCCAAATCTATGTCATTTTTTGCAATTGATTTAATTTCATTTCTTACTAACTAGGCAACGCATTCTCCCTTCCTATCTGCTTGGCCTTTTGATAGGACGTATATCCTTGGATATTTAGTTCCCAGCCCTGATCCCCTTGCAGCTGTGTTTCTGTGATACCCACAACATTGTACCTGCCAATTTCAATGTGTGCTGCAAGCTCATTTACCTTGTTTCATACACTGTGTGTATTTAAGTATGAGATCCTCAGTCCTGCATTGACTGCCACCCTTCTCAAATTTGTCTACTTGTATGCTGTGATTGAAGTTCAATTTCTGACCCTTTGCATACTCCCTGTCCTACTACTTGTTCTGGAAATTTTAATAATCTCTCCTGTGTCTCAAACTAATTTAGCAGTATTAACATAACTGCTATGTCTGAGATTCGTTATAAACAATGCTAAATGCTCAGTTAAGCAACTTAGTTCTGAATACAAACAAAAGCAGTTGGTAAATTACCCTGCATCAATCAGCAGATTAATAAGAATTAAAATACATCGATTTTTCAAACTATCTCCAGGAACTTAAAAAGCATCAATATTTTGTGTTAAATTGTGTAATATTAAATGAGTAGTTGTGTGACGTTTTAAAAAAAAAGTTCTGCATATTTGCTTTGGATTATGCAAGCAACAGTAAAATTTTGACTTAGGTCTGTGAATAAAAAAAGAGCCAAAGATTTATCATTGTTTTTCATTTCTGTTGAGCACTTTCTGCATTCAGTTAATGTAATTTGTGAATTAATAATATTTTGCTAAAAACACATTTCATCTCCCCAAGTTGGAATAAAGATACATGTGGTTTTGAATGCTTCTTTTTCAAATGGAAAATGTATTTGGAATGTTCTGGAAAATCTGGTTATGGCACATGGCTAAATTATGAAGAAAAACAACTCAATACTTAAGTCAAGTTATCAAAAGCACATGACTCTGGAAGTGTTAAATATTTTGAGAGTGAGCCAGCTATATAATTTTGGCTTCTCACAAATAACCAATTGTTACTACAAGTTCTCTCACAACGAAGCAAATAAAATAAGTTTTAATTAGGAAATGATACCGATTATTTATTAGATAAAACAAAAGTACCAGTGATCAGTAAGAGGCAAACATTAGGCTACTTTTGAAGACTTAACACAACAGAACCCACGAGCGATTGAAAAGAGTGCTGTCTTTGTGAAGCTAAAACAATTGAAATATATCCTTAAGAGGCATATATGAGATTGGTCTTACATGACTAGGACTATTTACAGACAAAGACTATATATTCTGTGTCAACATCGAATTTGCAACAGACTGTAGTAATTGTCAGAATTGAATAAAATCAAACACCTAGGATTTCTACCTATATGTTGACATTGAAACTCAACCGGAAATGGAAGAATCCTCAAAAAATAATCAGTTGAGATTATGCCACTTTAAATGGGACAGGACAGAAATTGAGAGTTCAATAAGAGCCTGATCAATAATCACATCAACACTGCGTTTTGCTTATTGAGGAGGGGGAATTTCATTGCTTCCTTTCGGCTGCTGAACTTGCGAACTGTACAGGAAAGAAATAAATGCAGCTGGACTATCATGTCAGCCTTGCACTGAAGATCAACAAAAATAGTTAAGTGCTCTCACATTATGAAGGGCATGGCTTAGATCTATTGCCTGTGGCCCCTTTCAATATACCTCAATAGTATGCCTAAACACAAGACTCAGTAGTATTAACAGCACCACAGTGACTTATCATATCATTTCTGGGAACCTGATTGTTAGGTTATTCTCAGTATCGGTGCTAACATATGGATACACTTTACAATGACCTGTTCTCACCATCAGGACTCAAGTATGATTGTCCAAAACATTTTCACTTACAATTCCTGCGTACCCGGTGGGAAAGGGGCACCATCACATCAGCTTACACTGGATTTGAACTCAGAAACTCCATCAGGTATAAGGATATATTTTCCAATAAATCTGATGTGTATGTGAGGGAGAAGTATTTTCTTTAACAGACAATGAGTGCTCTTTATCAAGGAGTGGCTGGGGCAACATTGAGGTTGTATAAATTGTCTCAATAATGTGTTCTAGTGTTCAATTCAGAAGATCACCTTTCTCTTCAGTGTGATGGAAGATCTGACTGATAGTAACCTAAGCTCCTCTACAGACCTAATAGCAATCCTCAGTTGTCTGCCTTTGCTCATTGTTGTGTGAAGTGTCAGGGCTTTAGACAGACTGTCTAAACATACTGTTTTTAGATCATCCTCTCCATTCTTTTCATAATGTGAGATTCTTCCAGGGGCTAACAATATATCCAAACATAGCACATGTGAGGAATGAAAGATTCACCAGCACTAATCATGCTACAATTTACTACATTCAACATTCTAACTGAGTGGCTGTGGCAAGTTACTGATCGATAATTATGTGCGGATTATTGTTGAAGTATTTGTTAGACTCACTGGCCCTGTGATTCTACAGTGCAGCTGAGATTGGATAAAGCTTAGGGACAGCAGAAGGACACTTCCAAAAGAGACTGAGCCATGGATAGAGCAACTATTCTACCTTTCAGTGGGCAGGAGGTCTATATGATGTCCTTAGACAGTGAGTTAACAAGTTTAATTAGGTGCTTTGAGGGATGGCCATGAGAATCTCCAGAAGAAGTGAGGGCATGTCAGTAGCACAATCACACCTGTCCACTCCCAGATCCATATGCGAGAGAGGATAGCATGTAGGAGAATGACTCCTATATGGACTAAACATAAATATGGTTCAAGTGCAGGTACCTCCAAAAATAATTCATTGGTACCAATGCTGACCACGTTCCTCAAAATGCTTTCAAAAAGATTTTATCGCAGACTTTAAAGGTGCTCCTTTCAATGCTGAAAGAATTACGCTCGAAGTAATTTCCTGGAGTCTCATACCAAGCACCATAACCAACCAGTTGTAACTATCTTGTGATGCCAACTGCATTATGCAGGAACACAGCAGAAGGACGCTTCCAAAAGAGACTGAGCCATGGATAGAGCAACTATTCTACCTTTCAGTGGGCAGGAGGTCTATATGATGTCCTTAGACAGTGAGTTAACAAGTTTAATTAGGTGCCAAGTTACATCGCTATTGTGGATTGATAGCATCCCAGATAGACTGGGAACGATAACTAAGGGAGGTGCAGTCATATGGCCATTATAAAATACTGATGCAGTTCATGCCAGCAATAGAATTAATATACTGTGGGATTAATACTGAGAGGCTGTTTTAAACCTTCCAATATCAGGATGAATAGAAAATAAAATATTGTGTTTTTAAAATTCTGACTTTACAATGTACTCAGATCTGCCGTGAACGCCTACTGGGCTTTCTCCTCAAGTATTTTGTACCCAGTTCTGTCCAGTCCCAAAAAAAAGCATATGTACAAATACTTCTCATCTGATCTTTAGTTCTTTCCACTTTGAAACCATTCTGAGTTTATTTTTTCAAGCTAAGGTTTTGCATCAATTACAGATGTTGAAGGGACACATTTTCTAAAGGTGTTAAAAGAGAAGTTACACAGCCAAGATCAGATCACGTTTTCTACAACATTCACGGAGATCGGCAGGATTAAAGTGTCGGAGCCACGAGGGGTCCCCAGTTGGCTTTCACTGCGGTAGTGCCTTCAGAATGGCGTTCACCTCCTCAGCTACTGCTGTCAGTGCAAACTCAAACTGGTCCTGGGGAAAATAAACCAGCAGTGTGAGAACAGATTGACATTTCATTAGGGCACTAACTGGTTTACCAATTTTTTTTATAAACTATAACCATGTCCATGAGAATTGATACAGTTAACCTTTGTTGTTCTTCCATTTTTTTCCCAACTCTTCATCTCCTTTAATAGCTCTTGCCTGGGATGGTTTTCAGCAGCTCTCTAGCACTTCACACAAGTGCATGACTGTAATCAGTGACTGCCAGGAGGATAACTAACAACGAAATGGCCCCAGAAGCCTGCATGATTCTGTCTTGACTTGCGAATGACCCCACGTACAGGGGAGGTCACCACTCTGCAACCAGGTGCTGGGAACGTGAGCAGAATATTCAACTTTCCAATACCCTCCAGCACCCATGGGGGCATCCTGGCCAGTAAACTGACTGAATTTTAATGAACTCAACACAGGCCAGGGTTCAAAATTCTGGCAGCCTGGACTGTAGCTCACTGCCTGAAAGGGTGGTGGTGGAAGGAGATTTTAAATAAACTTTTGCAAATGATTTGGGCGATTATTTGAAGTGGGGGAAACTGCAGGATGATGGTGGGAGGGCGGGGGTGGATGGGATTAAACAGCTCTGCAATGTTCTTACAGGGAGGAATCTTATGTTCTCAGGTAATGAGCGTGAGTCGGGATCATATCTGGGTTCAGAACTGGCTCCAAATCTCTGGGTGCCCGCTTGCCTGGTATATAAGAGGCTGCCAATGAAGGATGGTCAGTGATTCCCTGGGACTGCAGGCCTGACCACAAAGCCTTGGAAATATAGCAGTGCCATTGCCAAGTCAGAGGGGGAAATTCTTCTTCCATCTTGTTCTCTGAACAAAGTAAAAGTTGGCCATGACTACAAGACTACCCCCATCAGGAGGAAAGGTCTCCCACTGGCTAGCCAGATTCTGCAGCAGTGTCCCACTGATGTTGGTGGGGGTGCAGTGGGTGGGGGAGAGTTTGTCACTGCCCTTCCATCTAAGGTGGCTGTCTGCAGGCTGACTCTGCAGTTTTCCTTTCATTCTCGAGATTTATTGTGCTCCACCGAACTGCCTGGTTTAGCAGATAAAGTGGGTGGAGTAGCCCATGCCAATGCTAAGAGATAGTAGGAACTGCAGATGCTGGAGAATCTGAGATAACAAAGTGCAGAGCTGGATGAACACAGCAGGCCAAGCAGCATCATAGGAGCAGGAAGGCTGTCGTTTCGGGCCTAGACCCTTCATCAATGCTAACTTGCTTTCAGGTGGATCACCAATCAGTCAATGCCTATTTCTCCAAATTCCCTCCCAATCATTACCGCCTCACACCACATCCCATCCCCCCACGCCCCCAATGATAGTGACCTAGCCCTCAAGAGAGCCAGCATGATGGGCCAAGTGGCCTTCTTCTGTGCCCTATCATTCATTGCTCCACCAGCCTGGCAATATATATAATGACCAGATCACCAGACGGTGCCTGTATTGCTGCCAGTGGGGATAAGTTCTCCAAAGGGAATGTGGGGTTGTCAAGACCATGATTTTAGGGTTAGATGGCCCAAGAATCTTGTACATTTCACAAAGTTGTCTCTTAATCTTCTAAATTCCAATGTGTCCAGGCCCAATCTATTAACCTCTTCTCATAAGATAGTCCCTCCATACCTGACATCAGCCTAGTGAACCTTCTCTGCACTGCTTCCAGTGTCAGTATATCTTTCCTCAGATAAGGGGATGAACACGGTTCACAGTATTCCAGCTGCAATCTGACTAAGTGCCTTGTACAATTTTAGCAGAACCTCCAGGCTTTTATACTCCACTCCCTTTGAAATAAAGGATAACATTCCATTTGCTTTCCCTGTTACCCACTGAACTTGGCACTGGCTTTCTGGATGACCTGAGGACAAAGAAATCCGTCTGGCATCAATTAAAAAGAGAAATCCTGAGAGACGGAACACATAGAACAGTACAGCACAGTACAGGTCCTTCGGCCCACGATGTTGTGCCGAACTTTTACCCTAAAACATGGGGTTCATTGTAATATTTAGATGACCATCCCTCCTCCCACAAGCAGGTTGGTTGCCTGTCCCTTCTCCTGATTCTATTAAAATGGGAAGTATGTGGACTCAAGACCTTTTTGGTTCCTGTTTCCAATGTTTAATCTCTGACCTGACCCTATTTTGGCGAGTTAAGATTCCTTTGGCTAACAGCTCACTGTGGGATAAGGATGCCAGAAAGTGCTCTAGGATACCAGAGAGGGCACCTGTACAGCCCCAAACAAATGGAAATATAAACACAACCACAGGATCACTATAGTGTGGAAGCAGGCCACTGAGTCCACATCAACACCCACAAGAAGCATCCCACCCAGACCCACCCCATCCCTGTAACCCTGCATTTGCCATGGCCAATCCAACTAACCTGCAAATCTTTGGACTGTGGGAAGAAACCTGAGCAAACTCATGCAGACCTGGGGAGAAAGTGCAAACTCTGCACTGATAGTCATCCAAGGGTGGAATTGAACCCAGGTCCCTGTTGCTGTGTAGGTAGCAGTGCTAAGCACTGAGTCACTGTGCCACCGATAGAGCAGAGAAGGTGAAGGAGACATTCTGCACAGTCATTCAACATTATGAGGGGGCTTTGATGAAGTAAATAAGGAGAAACTATTTCCACCGCCAGGAAGGTCAGTAACCAAAAGGGCACTAACTTGAAAGAACTAGCAAAAAAGTAAGGGGGCCTGAAGAGGACAGACTCATCTCATTGGCAAATTTACCTGATGTGGAATACACTGCCTGTAAAGGTGATGGATGCTGATTAAATAGCAACTTCCCGAAGAGGATTTGGATCTCTAATTGAAAATGTTTTCTAAAAAAAATTGAAGAAAGAGCAAAGCAGTGAGTCCGATTGAATTTTTCTTTTAGAGTGGCAGCGCAGTGGACAGACTGGCCTCTTCCTGTGTACCATGTTTCTGTTTTGAACCCTGCAAGTTCGATTAGTGAGGAACATACAAGTTTTCCAGGTCTGAGACTCCAGTTCTGCCAAAAGCTCCAGCCCTGAATCCCTGATCCGTCTTTGGTCTTTTCGGATGTCAATAGACTTTCTGTGTACTTCCATGATGTCATTCCAGATTTTGTCGGGATTGAGATAATATACAAATCATTTCACTTGCTGCCCAAACATTGTCAGATAATGGCACAGCTACTTACTGAAGTTAGATGATATTTTAATAAAAACTTTTATCAATAAATTTGACACAGGTTTATCCAGGCAATTGTAATAACTAGTCACTGACACTGGTACAGTGTCTTGACTTCTGTTTGCTACAGGACTTGCCATAATTGACATTGCAGACCTGACTTTTAATCCGCTCATTTAAATGACTTTGAAGGCTTTCTACTCCTTATTTGTATTCAGTGATGCGAGCGCATGGTTTGTTTAGATCCATCCAGGAAAAAAAAACTCTCTTGAGAGAACCTCCCGCTGGTGTGTAATTAGATATTTATAATTCACCACGCATCTGAATAGATGTATTAGTGTGTGTGAAATGGGATGCTGTTGCTTAGCAGCAGTCAGAGCACGTTTCTGCTGTGATTAGGATTCTTGTACCTGGGTACATGACTCAGAGGGCACACTTGATTCTAACCTTTTGGTCAACTCGGACTGATCCACCCCAGTGCCTCTCACTCCTTCGCAACTGCTTTAACTGGCATAGAATCAGATAAACTCAGCTAATGCACAGCAAATGTTGAGGAAATCAAATTCCAAATTGAACGAAAGTTTTTTTGCACCCGATTTCCCTGTTCTCCTCTCCCCAAAAGGTTCCATGAGTGCCAACAGGCATTCTCCAACACTGAATGCACATCTTTCACACGAGGCTGGGCAGGCTATCTGACTGCTGGGGCATGTGGAGGCATTGTAGACAAATCCTAATCCCAATCTCATCCAAACACCTCATGTCATTTACAGCAGGGGCTCCTGAACTGTGATGGGAGTGGGCTTCCAGATGATTATTTGCTTTAATTGTCCCCCAACTCTGAGTCCCTCGGGGTGCTCTGTTTCATACCCATACATTACAGGATGACTGTAAAGAAACGGGTGGCAATTATAAAGGCCAGAGTTCTGATGCTAGGGGCAGGTTGAAGGATTGGAGGAGGTGGTGTGGAGTGTAACATTGGGTTCCAGGGCAATGGCTCTGTCTCGGTTGCCCTGAAATGCCGCTGGGATTTGAAATTCTGGGTCCTTGAGTATCTCGTTCTCAGAAGACTGCCTTCTGCCACCACTCCCCAGTGATTGGGAGGCAGTGCTTGGTGGCTGGGTGAGGGTGAAACTCCCAGCTTGAGGAAGTGAATAGCCTGCTGGCTGACATATACCTGCAAGGAGACCCTGCCAAGCAGAGGCAGGCTGGCTCTCTACTTCTCAGGCACAGCATAAAGCCACTGCCTCTGTGTAAAAACTCTGGACAAAGTGAAGGATTAAACGACATTGCCATAGCTCATAAGCATGTTCCATCAACAGGTCATGTACAATATCATCATGAGCTCTATCCCATTATGTTAACACCACTGGGTAGAATTTGGTAGAATGCAGCCGCACCCCCCATGGAGCTCCATCTCAGTCCAGCCTGTGTTAAACCTGACTGACCACCTCCGTCCACTCCCTTCCTCAGCAACAGTGGAATAGTCAGATCCCACAGAGTGACCAAAGAAAAAATGACAAATTCGAGATGTAGAAAATTGAAAAAGAACTCAGCAAATATTAGAAATGTCTTAGGCAACAGCTCAATCCCTTAGTTAATAGTCTCACCAGAAAGAACAATCTGTTTCCTTTTCCTGTTGTTGCCTCACGCGCTGTGCATTTTCTGTTTTAATTTATTTTAATTTTTTTTTTACGTCTTTGTTTACCTTTGTCTGAACCATCATTGGTCTCTGGTCTCGCAAATGTTCCAGCGTAGCAGCTATATCGATCTCCTTAGCACCTGCCAACAAACCACAATCCAAAGTGATATCAAACTGCTTCACCATTCCTGCAAATCTCCCCAAATCAGATCCTGCATCTTCTCAAAAAACACTGTTCGTTTTCACTCAGAACTCTAATGCTCAGCAGTTGAGTACATGCCATTACAATTCAGAGAGATTGAGCACTGTTAAGTCTGCACAAACTCCAAGCCCGCATTCAATGTGCTTGACCCTCAGCAGGTCTCTGAATTTAGCCTGATGATCCACACATTAGTATTCCCATCTCCTTAAGAATGGGATTTAAATGCCTACCTTGCGAGCCATAGAACCCACGACCAGCACATTAAAACTGTACTCCTCAGTGCTGAAAACATTTGCCCTTCCAAAGCTTATTGATTGCCGGTTTGTTCAGTTGGCTGGATGGCTGATTTGCAGAGAGATGCCAACAGTGTGGGTTCAATTCCTGCATTGGCTGAGGTTACCAGGAAGGACTCTCCTTCTCAACCTCTCCCCTCACCTGAGGCATGGTGACCCTCAGGTTAAACCACCACCAGTTGACGCTCTCTGATGAAAGAGAGCAGCATGATGATCTGGCAAGACTATAGCGACTTTACCTTTACTACCAGTGCTTTTGAGCAGTACTGCACTTTAAAGCCTAATTATTTATTGCCAGTGGTAGCATAGTGATAAAGTAAGAGGATTCTACAACTTTACAGACATATTTTATTTTCCCTACACCGTATTGCTGCCAATAAGCCTAGCAACACTGGATAACCCAGATGCAAAGTCATTGGTGGACGTTAGAAGTATGCTTACTGTATATCACAGCTCTTTAAATGGGGTAGATAATATAGCAATACAGTAGCTGCAGTTAGATCCTGCTACTGAGTCATTTATTTGTTGCTTCTGCATTCATTATCGCTGCGCCGTAAACTGCGACCAATCTATCAGGACAGCCACTAATGCAGTTTCCGAACAGTTTCACATTGATGGTGATCAATCAGTAATTATGAGTGCTATAGTAATCACCTTGTTGAATCCCTAAGGCCTCCTCCCTGACTCTTGTCTCATTATCTTTTTGTCCTAATTGTGGCCAAATCTCTTATTAATGAAAGCCAAAATGGGAATACCTCACTGAGCATTTACCTAATTACTGCAAACAGGTCTGCTCCATCTTCTTCTGCTGTTTCTTTTTTGAAGAAAAAAGACTACACATCGATATTAATTAAAAATAAACTTCCAGTCTGAAGTGTGTTTCAAGGGCAGTTCGAATTCTGATTACTGTTCTTTTGATTGTCCTCCTGGCATTTCCACTACATTTCAAATGATTAGGATTCAGGATTTATAGGGACGGTATACAGGGTGTTAAGGTTCCAAGCTGCATTCTTAGGAAGGGATTCAGCCTTGTGACCTGGATAAATGCAAATGCGGTAACAGTTTCTGGTCATAATGCAGAGGTGAAGAGTGTGTAATTGGCAACTTGAGGACTGTGAAATGCATCTTATTTGTGTTTGCCAACATGAGCGCTGTTTTCAACCTCCAAAGACTGGTTTTAACTCCTAGTGGGAGTTGGATATTTCCTTCATCTTTAGTAGGTTTGCATGTCACAGACGAGGCTAGCATTTGTTCCCCATCCCCAGTGCACTTGAACATTTTCTTATCCATTCACAGGATGAGGGCATCTCTGGCCAGGCAGCATTTATTGCCCATCCCTAATTGCCCAGAGGGCTGTTAAGAATCAGCCACATTGCTCTGCGTCTGGAATCAGATGCAAACCAGATCAGAGCATGATGGCAGATTATCCTTACCAAGGGGCATTAGTGAGCCACATGGGATTTTACCACAATAACTCTTGTCAAGGTCACCATTACAGAGACTGGCTTTGTATTACAACGGGCTTATTAATTGAACTCCAAGCCACTTGCGGTGATGGGGGGATGGATTTGACCTGTGTTGTCAAAGTCTTAGCATGAGCTTCTGTATTGCCAGTCCAACATTGACCCTCATGGGTGGGGGTGGAGAATGGGAGAGGAGGCAGTCAGCAAACCATAGCCTGAGATCCAGGAGATAGGAAGTGGGTTGGGCCTAACCTGAGGCCCTTCATCTTGTAGTCGCTCGACCAACAAAGTGGGAAGCAGTAACTAACGGGTTGGGTGAGGACTGGGGAAGGGTGTTTTGGGTGGTAGGAGGGCGTTGAGTAATGGTTACCAGCAAGCACTCCAATTGGCTTTTGGGACGGTGTCACGGTGAGAAGAGGAGGTGAGGGGCTGCCTGAGATGCCCTTTCAGAGCCAAGAAAAACATTCACATCAGAGGCTTCTCATCCCCAAGGTAGGTCAGGCAGGATCGGGCCTGCAGTTAAAATTACACCTGATCCTGCTGACAACCTTAGAGCTAAATGTGCATGCGTCCTAGCAGTGCGTGTGCCCCTTACTTGATCAAAACAGCCGGTTAAATTCACCACAATCAAGAAGGCAGTGGGATTAGGAAGGAAGGAGGGATGAGATGTCCCCCATCCAGTGGGACTGCATGAAAAGGTCAAAGGTCAGCCAACTTAGCTTCACTGAAACACTCAGGACATCGGGAATAGCTGTGGAATAAAAGTCCCTCTAATCAGAAATGTACTTGCCAGATGAGTTGGGGCAACATTTCAGTTTTCCACCCTGCTTAACATTATGCAGGCAAAATGGTCAAGTTGGTGCCTGTTTTATGATGCAGATAAAATGTAGACCAGAATCTGGATTACGAATCTCCCATCTCGTTTCACAAAGTAACTGTGCAACCAGGAGAGCTGCAGTGCAGCTGCATTTGAAGCCAGACCTCCTAGTGCCCCAAAAATAACTGAATCTAAGAATCAACAACCTCATCAGCAAATAATTTGCGTGCAAGTGCTTCCATCAGTTCTGAATCTGGTATTTCTAAAGTTCCAAATAAAAGATAATGAACATTTAATCAGCACATTTGATGGTTGGATCACATCCCCACTCATATTTGTAGAGCACTTACAACACAGTGTCATTCAATGATAGCAATGCCTGCATTCTACAGCTGATGCCCCATTACAAAGCCTCAATAGGATTGCTAAACTGAAGCAGCCAGATTAAAAGGAGTGAGTCTTCAGCACTAATTCCTTTCATCCAGGCTGGATTTGAAACTATTTTGGAGTACAGAAAGTGAAGTGTCTAATTCAGCCTTTCACTAAAACCCTCCCACAGTGGCAAGGGATTCTCCCTTCTGTGCAGAAGGTCAGTTCAGGCTTTGTCTAGTGGTAGACAAATGCAGGCTGTGGCTATTGCTTTGCCAATCAGGTTGGGCAATGCTTGGAAAGGCCAGGAGGTCAAAAGTGGTCAACAAAGTTTGAGGTACCACTGACACCAGCGCCAGCTGGCCCCTTGGCCTTCATCTCAGACCAACCTGCTCTGAATCCAGGAGCTGTCATGGAAGATTATTCCGAAATTGTTTGAAAATTCCAAGCCTGAATGGACAGAAACTTGATCAGGCCCCTTAATGAGTTCCAGGGCCTTTAATTGACAGTGATCACTTTACCCACACTAGCCCCCTGACAAGACCATCCCTGAGGTATCAGAGTCCCAAGATGGCCTGCAGCGAACCATCCACAGTGGGCCCTGACACTTTGACACTCCCTTATCTCTGCTCTTCACCTCACTGATGCTGCCAGAGGCGCTGAGTATTTTCTGTTTTGATTTCAGATTTCCACAACCTGCAGTATTTTGCTTCGATAGTTATTTATCATCCTGCTTTTCACTGGGCACTGCTGCTCCAGACCAGCTGCCATTCTAGCCCCGGCAACACCAGCTCAGGCCTTTCGGAGAAAAAAAGGCATTAAAATGCTTTGATGATGTCATAAGGCACAAAATACCATTACTTTCCTTTACGAATGCCACACCATTGTGGGGAGGGTAATACCTGTGGTAAAGTGGGTAGTAATCTGCGAGTCAGAAGATTGTTAGTCACTGCCCTCTGAAACATCTTGGCAAATGGCCACTCCTTTCAAAGGTAATGAGGGATAGGCAACACTGACATCCCATGAAAGAATGAAGAAGTCTCAGTCCTCAAACTTGAAGTACAAACTAAGCTGACACAACACTCAAGGGAGTGTCGCACTGTTGGAGATGCGGTCTTTTGAGGGAGACATTAAACAGAGGCCTTGCCCCATTTCCCAGATATCAGATATTCTGGCTCAATTTCAAAGCAGAGCAGGGGAGCCCTGATCAATATGGATAGCTCAATCGACATCATTAAAACAGATGGTCTTGTCATAGCAACATCACTGTTTGCAGAATCTTGCTGGGTGCAAACTGACTGCCACGTTTGTAATTCATAGGCTGTAAAATGTTCTGGCATGCCCTGACGTTTTGAAAGCAACTACATAAATGCAAGTCATTTTTTTTTATTCATTTGGAGAAATGTTTTCTCTGTACACCTTTCGCAACAAAGACTTAAACAGGCTTCCACCACAAATACCAAATAGAGGAAACAGTCACCCACTTAAACTATACTATATATTGTTTGCAAATGAATTGAAAAGGTCCAAAAAATACTGTAAAGCATTTGATAGAAATTATTCAGCATCTTATTTTGTGATGTTGGATATTCAGGGACCTTTGCTGCTTCAGTTACAATAATCTCTCATTACAGGCTCTCATGTGTCAATAGCTCCTCATAAAAGTGCCAAACTTTCCAGGTTACAGGCATCTGAAACTTGAATTTATGTCCACTTTACACTGCACCATCATAATTCATAGAAGATCACAGAAATCACGGAATCCCTAACAGCAGATAGAGGCCATTCAGCCCATTTGTTCTGCACCTACTGTCCAAGGAGCATCCCAATCCCCCACCCTGTCCCCAAAACCCCACATTTGTCATAGCTAACCCACCTGCCCTGCACACTCTAAGACAATTTAGCATGCCCAAACCACCTAGCTTGCACATCTTTGGACTATGGGTGGAAACTGGAGCGACTGGCGGAAACCCACGCTGAGATGGGGGAATGTGCA